AATACATAGTTTCCTAAATCCAATATGATCATTGCTGCTGTAAGGTATGTATGATTTTATAAAATGTACTAGAACCCAAATGAAACCTAACTAGTTCTGGAGAGTGCGGACGAGGATGTCACAGCAAGCTACAGAGAAGAGGTGTGGAGTAGTTTGCCAGGGCTGCCACTGAGTGGTTCAAACAACAAAATTTTATTGTTGCTGCTCTGGAAGGTGAGAAACCTGAGATCAAGGTATCAGCATGACAAATTCCTTCTGAGGGCTATGTCCCAGCTTCCCTCAGTCATCTCAGACTGGCAACAGAAACTGAATGGAAACTGCCCTCCAAACCCTGGCCCTAGAAGGATACAAGCAGGACCCTGCAGAACCACACTTGCTGCCAAACCACAGCGTGTGTGTATGTGTGTGTGTGGGTGTGTGTCTGTCTGTCTTAGCTTCCATTGTTGTCCTTCCCATATGTATGGGAGAGAATTTTTCTAGACAAGCATCTCCTGGTCTGGTTGAACCAAGATAAACTCCTTTCCTGTTTCACTACCAACTCTGTCTCTGTTAACTGGACTCTTCAGACAGCAGTAGCTGGACCTGGTCCAGCCCCAGCCTCTGACCCAGGACACGAGTAACAGTTGGACGTTTTTTTGTGTCACTATGGGTAGCTGATCCTTTATTCTGTGGTCAACTAGAAGTTGCCTAATGTTTGTTTAAAGCTACTTTCATTATTTTTTTCCTAATTACGGAAGCACTGGGTGTGTGTGATTGAAATATCAGTTGGACTACTCTACCACTTGAAAATCTAGTATGGCTTGAACTCCAAGTTCACCTCCTGTCAGAATCCAGGGCTTCCCCTCTTCCTCCTCCATAACCTTACGATTCTTTTCCTGTGGCTTTGCTTCCTACTACATCAGCTCAGATGAGAAGCCCCATTTCTCCAGTTTCCGTTTTTAAAAATCCACCTACCAATTCATGAATTGAAAAAAAAAAATTCAAGATTTGAGAGGTTTTGGAGAGACTCGTAATTTTGTCATCTCTCTGACTTTATTCCTCCCTCATCTTCCTGGAGCTAGGAATTCATCCTCATTCCTTATGCAGAACAGCTCTGCCCACCTTCAGCTCATTTAGGCTCTCATTTTTTGTGCCAAGCACTCGTTCAGGTATTTTTCCTAACAGAATTCTCTTCTCGTGACAAATTCTGAGAAAAAAAGATTCTTTCCTCTTACGTATTTTTAAAAGAACCTAGAAAATACACCCAGAAAAGTTTTAAAATTACCCATAATATTACAAAACTTTTAATGTGTGTCTTTTGCTACAGTCTTCATTGTATTATACAACTGAGCTCATTCTGTATTTTTTTTGTATTCTGCTTTTATACATTTTTAAAAATTCTACTATGAGAAATTTTCTGTATTCCCCAAATTTGTCTGAAACCTAATTGTCAATGATTTTATAATATTTTGTCATATTGGCGAATCAATTTGCTTAGACCTTTTTTTGTGATCTGGGGAGTTAAACCCCAAACCTTCTGTATAGTAGGCAAGAATTATAAAAAATATTTTGATACATGAATCTTGATCTGCATTGGGATAGGTATCCAGATGAGAAATTAGTGAGTCAAAGGATAAGAACATCTTGAGGTTTAAGATGCTTATTACTAAATTGCTTCTAGAAAAGGTTCTTAAAAAAGAGTGAGTACCATGATCAGATATGTGATTTTTTTAACAGATAATTCAAATTTAGGGAAAAGAGAATTTGAACTGAACAGTAGCAGTAGGTTTTGGGAGGATATAAACAGGAGTAAGGGTTAGTGATATTTCTAAGTAGAGTCAGAAGAATCTCATAAGGAAGACATGGGGAGTTAGAAGTAGTGATAAACCAAAGATAATGTCTTCCCTTCTAATTTGCCTAACGAGGTAATACTGATGTTTTTAATACAAAAGAGAGGATGGTAAGATGTGCAGATTTGTAGGAGAAGATGCTTGGATACTTGGACTTGGATTACATACCAGTTGTTGAAGGTTTTAGGTGGAATCTAATAGGCATGTGGAAATATGGTTAATGGTAGAGAACATCTGCTGTTTTTTCTGCCTGACATCTGGTGCGAGCTTCAGGATTTTTTTCAGAGGAGGCTCTTTGGATGGCAATCTGGCTAGGAGTCTTGTCTTAAAGGTGCATTTATTTACCAACACCTGTTTTTTATTTTTAATTAAACTGCAGGTATTTTTGATTTGGTAAATGAAGATGGGATAGTGAAGCATTCAAATAAGTGCTGACATCTATTCCTCTGTATTCTGATGATACCACTTTAATTTTCCTTGTTTGGATCACTCCCCCTCTCTCCCCTCCCATGACTTTGGTGCACCTGTCACTACTCTGTGGCTCCGGATCCAAGGATGGTACATAACTCAAGTCACCCAATCAGAGGCAAGGGGGCTGAAGTCTGAAGTCTCCAGGGGAACTGTTGGGAGTCGCCCAACAGTTCTTTCAGGAACCACAGAGAAAAAGCTCTTTTCATGGGGATTGCTGAGGGGTAGAATGTATAACTGGAGTTGGTGGCAGCTATTTTGCTTGTCTGGCAATGGAGTTAATCCAAAGCAGACATGAATGAATTCTGGTTATTTGGTTCTGATGGCATCACTTGAGTTCTAGGGCCTAGGCTCACTGATGCCAATTCTAGGGCTTTTCAATCTTATGAGATATTAAGATTTATTTTTATCTTAATTAATCTTTAGTGGTTTTGTCATGTACAAACAGAGTCCTGACCAGTACAGTACTGGATATCAGAAAAGGCTCATGTTATGAAAGGTCCAAGTATTCATGAATAAAATAAGAGGAATCATATTATGACAACATGACATTTTGTTTTATATATATATAACTAATATATATATAAAATTTAAATATTTAGTTTTTGGTTGTAACTGGACACAATATCTTTATTTTATTTATTTTTATGTGGTGCTGAGGATTGAACCCAGGGCCTTCCTCGTGCTAGGCGAGTACTCTACAGCTGAGCCACAATCCCAGCCCCTTGTTTTATATTTAATGGCTGGTGAATATGTATGGAACATCCACTATAGTGTCAGGCACAGTGCTTGGCGTTGTACATAAAACAGACTGATCAAAGGTATGGTTATAGAGTTATTTTATTGACATTATTAAAATATTATAATTCATAAATTTTCTGTATTACCTAACTAGAATTAATAGCATTAATTTTGGCTTTTACATCTTACATAGTTTGTTCTGTTTCTTCTTATAGACCTAAGAATACCTAGCACAGTGCCAGTACATAATAGTAGCCAGCAAATAATTTGTTATTTGCTTGAATTTTAGAAACTATTTAAAATATATGGAATATAGAACTCCATATTAGGAATTCACAGTTCAAGAAATAGATGACCAGAAGGGATATTGTATCTTTTATTTTAAATGTCTAACAGATGTCCACTTGTAGATCTGAGGAACATTTTGGTTCTTTACCCCACATCTTTATTTTATTTTCTAAGGTTCTGGATGTTGGTATCTCATCTAGCCTGATAGAGCTTTCTGATATGACCTTAGTAATAATAGATTATATAAAGCTGTGAGGGTAAGAACTGTTTTTATTTTTTTCCTTGAATATTCATTACTGGCTCATTTTCTAGCTACCTTTGTGCCTCAGCCATCTCTTTTGGTCTTCAGTTGTCATCTGAGGATGGTTTAATTAAGAATGTTTTTACTTCACACTCTACCCTTGGGTCATTAAAAATTGTAATGGAAAATATGATAATAGGAAATAAATTACTTAAATCTGTTATTAATCTGAGTCTTAAATATGTATCATGGGATCTACACACATTGTACTGAAAAATCTGAAAATATTTTAAACCCCATCTCATAAAAAATTACATGTAACCAGTAATTAATGTATCATGAACTTATAGCAACAAAATATTTAATCTTTTCTAATTATACTGCTTAAATTTAAATAGCCAACATCTTTTCTCCGACATTCTACTTGATCACAAGATTTAAACCATCTGACTTGCCATTATTAGGACATATGACATGCCCCACAAGATATCATTTAATCAAGAGGCTATGGGCGATATCCAAAACAGCAATTTTTTAAAAAAGTCCAGGCATCTTTGCTATTTATTAGGAAATTGGACCTGACGTATCAAATGTACGCTTAGGAAGTCCGATTTTATTCCCATTTAATCAAATATCACTACCTGGCAGCAAGAAAAACACAAGGTGCCAGAGAAAAGCAAAAAGAATGAAGTTAGCATCTTGGTGTTAACTCCCAGGCACAGACCGCCCAGGTGGGGTGCAGGCGCCAGGAGGGACCCGCAGGCGTTTCCTGGGCAAGGGCGCCGGGCAACAAGAACCCGGGGTCCCCGAGGGTTCGCCCAGGGCCTGAGAGGCGGGTGGGAACTGGCCACTGGGGCTCGGGACGCTGGCTAGCTAGGAAAGCGACCGCGCGGGACCTCCACCCTGGCTGCGGCCCTGGCAACTCCCGGCCTCTCCCGGCTCCGGGCGGGGCGGGGCGAGCGCGACAGGGGCGGGGCGAGCGCGGGGCCGCGCGCCCGCCGCTCAGCTCCTTGCAGCTCGGCTCGGGAGCGCGCGGCGCGGGCCCGCCGGGCTGTGGCGACGAGGCCGCGGCTGAGCGCGAGCGCCGCAGGTGACCCGGGCCGCAAGCTGGTGCGCGGGCGGCGGCTGAGAGAGACGCGGCGCTGCGGGCTGGAGGCGGGCCCCTCGCTCTGCTCCTCTCACGGCCTCGGCGCTGCGAGCTGAGCAGACGCGGCGAGCCGAGGCGGGCGGAGGGCTCGAGGCACCCACTTGACGGCCGGCGGCGCCCGCGGCCCTCAGCATGTTCCGCGAGGCGAGGGTTGTCCTCCCGCCCGTGGGCTGAGGCGGCGGCGGCCACACCGGCGAGATGCACCTGCGGGGCGCAGCTTAGAGGACGCGGCGGGCGGGAAGTGCCGGCCGCCCGCGGGAGGGCGTTCTTCGCGGGGCCGCTGCCTCCCGCGGCCGCCGCGGGCCCGAACCGGAGCGGCGGGGTGGGCGCCGCGACATGGCGGCCCGGAGCGCCCCGAGTTGCCACCTGCGGCTCGAGTGGGTGTACGGCTACCGGGGCCACCAGTGCCGCAACAACCTCTACTACACGGCGGCCAAGGAGATCGTGTACTTCGTGGCGGGGGTCGGCGTGGTGTACAGCCCGCGGGAGCACCGGCAGAAGTTCTACCGGGGCCACAGCGACGACATCATCAGGTACGGGCGGGGGGCTGCCGCCGCCGCGCTGCAGCGCGCGCTCGAGTTTGCACCTGTCGGTTCTGCTGCGGGCGACGTCCCTGGGAGTGGGACCTGCAGCTGTTGAGTCCCGAGCCCACCCAATAGGTGCTCTGCTTTCCCCCTCTTCCTATCTAGGGACCTTCTCGACGCTGTAAGATCAGGTCCGCAGGTTCTCCCGGGAGTTCGGTTTGATGGCTTTGCAACATACACCCATCAAAATTATGAAAACTGCGAAAAGGTTATTTTGTTAGCACTTTTCTGTTTTTTAAAAAGTCCCCGAGAGATTTTTTATTAAACGAATTCTTCAAGAGCCAGGGGAAACATCCTTAATAGAGAACTCAGCAGAGCACCGCTAGCTGTCCGCTGGTCCTGGGGTGTGCCCCGGGGTGGCACGCTGGAAGGCATTCACCTCTTGGCCATAATTATTAGTTCAGGTTTCACTGCCTGCAATTATGAGCAGATAGGAAAGAAACCCAGCCAACCTCAGGCAATTCATTGGAGGTTAAAATTTGCGTACCCAAAGGCGGCTTTGGGTAGGTCTCATAAGCAAATAATTCCACTGGTTTCCAGTTCTCTTGGTTCATCTTCATTAAGGTACTTCTCAATAAACTTACTTTCCTTTTTAGTTTATTTAAGTCACAGGTGTTGGATGTGTATATATAGTTTTATTCTTTCTTAAACAGTATCTTAAAGTTGGCCCCAGTGCTTGTTTACATTTCTTTAGTAAGCAGTATATTTTAAACGGAATTTTCAGTTAATATCTCAGTAGAACTTTTGTGGTAAAGTTAGGAGCTTCAGCAATTACTCTGGGCTATTGATTATTGCCTCAAGCACAATTCTTGTCCTTTATGGAGAATTATATATTAAAAAAGATTTTGAGAATGTGTATGTGTTGGTTCTCGGTTTTTTCTTTATTGTTTTTTTGTTTGTTTGTTTGTTTGTTTTGGGGGTATAGTGGGGATTGAACTCAGGGCCACTGGACCACTGAGCCACATCCCCATCCCTATTTTGTATTTTATTTAGAGACAGGATCTCACTGAGTTGCTTAGTGCCTTGCTTTTGCTGAGGCTTGCTTTGAACTCATGATCCTCCTGCCTCAGCCTCCCCAGCCATGCTTCTGGGTTTTTAACAGAGATTTTGTGTTTGAGTTTGGTAGCTTAATTTTATTCCTTTATGTATGTTTCACAGGATTTAAATCCACTATCTTGGTTTGATGTCTTGTAGGCAATAAGTTGTGGTATTTAAATTGCTTAAGTTGTTCTGTTTTGTATCTCTGTATATCTGTAATGTCTAGGAGGGAAAAGGAGTACTAGAACAAACCAAAGGTAGGACAAGATGGAGTAAAACTAAAAACAAAAATTGAAATTGTAGAATAGGGACTAAAGAGTGTTTTTTAAAAATATTTTTTAAAAAGACATCAAAGTGAAAATTTTCCAGATTGTACCTAATGTATTGCTATGGAAAGGATCTTGACAAGACATTTCATTTTCCTCAAGTTAGTATTTTTTTCTTTTCTTTTTTTTTTTTGTAGTAGTAGTGATTAGGGTTACAAAACTAGTATAACAATCCAAATTACTAATAAAACAGAACTCATAGTAATTATTTATGTAGTTATTCACCCCCAGAGGAGAGTTTACTCCAGCCCCCCCCCCATCTTTTCAAGTCTCTCCTCCCCTTTTCCATGTATTCTGGCCACCTAGAGCACCAGGCATCCTAGCTTTACCTAGATCAAGCAGTCTAGACTAAATTCCTCCTCCAGATATTGTCAGTTAGGTTGAATTCAGTAAGTGGTGCTGGTGTGAAGGATATTGAGGTCTTTGTAGTGCACATGAATTTTTACTCCTTGTTGATTATGAGAGAAGTATGATACTAAAGCCTTCCAAAACTAGATATGATTTATTTGTTGGGGTAAATTATGTCTCATTTATTCTTCCAGCAGTAATTAGAGGCTTTACTATATATCACACTACTTGAATTTTTAGAACTGGTCAATAAACTGTAAGGAAGGTAATGCCTTTGCCATCTTCTGGAATAGTTGCACAGTATTTATATCTCAAAATATTTCAAAATGACAAACATACTATAATTTTGCATAATTAAATACATGCCTGATTTATGCAAATGATACATAACTAAATAATTTATAGCAATTTAGTTTTCTGAAAAGTTACAATGAAGTAGGAAAATCTGAGTCATATAGCATATTGAAATTGGTGGCACAAATTTAATATAGTACTGGGAATGTAATTTAGAAATCAGTCAAAGGGCTCAGAAAATTTCATAGTAATTATGGAGATCGGTTTTGTTTGTGAAATAGAATAAACCTATTAAAGGTGTCTTGTGAAATAGATCAGGCAAATCTTAAAACTTGAATTTTTTTCAATTCAGTGTTTGACTTATAAGAAACTATTCCAGTAATTTTCAATTATATAACAGCAGAAGATGTAGCATTCACAAATGTGATGCTTTGTGGAAAAACAATGTTACTGTAATATAAGGATTAGTGAAATACTATTTTCATTATTAGCTTTGTTTCCATGTTTGCTTAAAACTTACTTAAAACTTATTAGTCCAATATGACTTAATTTGAGTCTAAGTTTATTCCAAAATGAGCAGGTCATTGTCCTTAGGATTTGAAAATGTTAAGTGCTGTATTGGTTGTAAAGATTGAATCATGACACTATTTCATTTGTTTAGTGATTCTCCTATAATCTTCCTGTCATCTAGGATTGCCAGTGATGGTGCCATCTGACTTCTCATCATTTTTTCTGCATTACTTGTAATTGTCTTCTGTTTGCCATATCTCTGTATATACTATACTTCTGCAGTCACTTATCCTTTGCTAGTATTTATTCCAGTAACTGGTTTATATATGGAAATGGACATCAGCATATCAGAAATAATACAGGACTTTCTGAGTTATTTTTCTATATATTCAAATTATATTGGTATAATTCTCTAGTTATGGTGTGTTCACAACGTGTTTAAGACTGTTATAAAATATACTAGACTAGTACTAGTTTTATCACAAAGATACACATCAGTAGCCTGGACTGTATACTTTTGTCAGTTGTCTTCCCAGAGGATGTGATAGCTTTTAAAATTTATTTTCCTAGTTACTGCCTAATCACCATTTTTTGTAAGTTTGTTCTTATTGTAGCAGGTATTATCAAAAGCTTTTAGATAATTTATATCAGTGAAGACCATTGATGTTAACTTGCCTCTGGTTTCCTTATAGGGATGACCAGGACTCATTATTTACATATTTTGTAGAAATAGATTTTGGAGTGCATTTTTTGTTATTGTTAAAACATGGTGAATGTATTTCACAGAATGATCGGGAGTATAAATGACAGTGCATCTGAAATACTTTGAAAAGTATATCTTACTATATGGTTGCAGGTTAGAATAATAATTATAATTCACTGTTTTTAGGTATAGCTCTTTTTAGACAAAATGGTTGGTGTTGTAACTCTTTAATTGTGGTACATGGTATTCTTAAGAATTAAAACTGATCAAACCTCTCTGTAATCTATTAAAAATATTTTGTGACAGCTCAGTATTTATGACATAGGGAACTTCATTCATTCAACAAAAGTCTACTTGAAAACGTAATTCAGAATAGATATTAATGTGATCAATATTTTTTGTGTTTATGTGGGTCCATTAGCAATTTTTTAAGATCTGGCAGGAATCACTGCAAACTTTCTTGTAGTCTATGTTTGTTATTTCTCAAACCTGGCTGATCATTAGAATAATTGGAAGAGAGCCGGGCTTGGTGGAACACACCTGTAATCCCAGTGGCTCGGGAGTCAGACAGGAAGATCTTGAGTTCAAAGCCAGCCTCAGCAAAACTGAGGCTGAGCAACTCAGTGAGACCCTGTCTCTAAATAAAATACAAAATAGGACTGGGGATGTGGCTCAGTGGTCGAGTGCCCCTGGGTTCAATCCTCAGTACCCACCCCTGGGAAAAAAAAAAAAAAGGATAATTGGAAGAGCTTTTCACAAATTTCCAGCTTTTCTTTCAGATGCACTCTCAGAACTCTCTAGGGTGGAAGCTGGGAATCTGCTCTTTAAAAAGTGCCTCAGATGCTTTTGGTAAGGAAACACACTGCCATCCTGTATTCTTAACATAAGCAGTTTGAGAAATGAGCATAAATTCTCCCCTCAAATCTGATACCAACATTTTATTAAGCATTGAATAATCTATAGTAGTAATTCAGAAAGTATTAAACTGTATACAGATTTAATAAAATGCCCCATGTTTAAGTAAATAGAATTAGGTGAATTAGCTTTACAGCTTTGTAATGATTCTGTTTAGTAAGACTTCCTTTTATGTGTCTGGATATCAAAATATTTATGCTTATTTACTTTTAAAATGCTGCATAATTTAAGGCATAAAATTAAGGCAAAAAGTAGAAAATATCTAGCTGAGTGCAGTGGCACACACCTATAATCCTGGTGGCTTGGGAGGCTGAGGGAGGAGGATTCCAATTTCAAAGTCAGTGTCAGCAATTTAGTGAATCTTTAAGCAACTTAGTGAGAGCTTGTCTTACAATAAAAAATAAAAGGGCTGGTGATGTAGTTCAATGGTTGAGTGCCCCTGGGTTCAATCCCTGGTACCAAAAAAAAAAAAAAAAAAATCTACAATAAGAATCAAGATTGTCATAAATATGTATTGACTATATTTTTATTGTTTAATTAGGAAGAAAGCCAATTTTTTAGATTTGCATTTTAACTATTTTATTGCTTAGTAATTTTTACATGAAATATGCCAATAATTAATAAGATGGAAGATCTTGGATATGTATTATGGAAAACATATGGAATGAGCTTTTAGAAGCTATTAAAAACTTACTGTTATTTCAAGGTTTCTCACTCATCAAAGAAATATTTTTGCACATCTTCTTTGTGCAAAGTTCCCTGACATAATCTCAGAGTTTAAAAATTCAATGAAGTACATTATCAATTAGAATAAT